TTGACCTTGTCGGGTTTAGGGTCTCAGCTGGAAACCCTGAGTCTTCTCTTCCACCAAACGCAAACCACCCCTAGAAGCACAGGTCGGCAGAAGTGGCAAGTAGCCTAGACGACAGAGGCCCTTGTATTCTTCTAGCGACCGAATCCTAGGACGTAAAGCCCCCCAACAAGAGCGACAGTCCCCGAGTGAGCTAGAGGTATCAGGACGTTGTATATGTGATGCCAGTGAAGTGAAGGCGTCGAGAGTGTCTGTCGTGCATGACACAGTCGAACCCGAAGTGCCGAGCTGTGGTCGGTTTCCGAAGTGACAGGTCCCGAGTGAGCTAGAAGTATCAGGTCGCGGTATATGTGATGCACGTGAAGTGAAGGCATCGAGAGTCTCTGGCGTTTATGACACAGTCGAATCCGAAGTGCGGATGCTGACAAGCATCTTGGTGAAAGGACGAACGACTGTGGCCGAACTCCATACCATCAAGGCCGGCAAAATCTCTACAAATTGCGGCCGGCATTACTGGAGGTCACTTCGTGACGACGACACGCACAAGTAATGTTGGCCAAGCTAAACCCTAAAATCGGACTCTGTTGGGTGCCGTTGTTCGAGCCTCATAAACTTGCTGACAAAGACGATGAACCGTACCCAAGAAGTTCTCAACTTTTGCGGTTAGACTCTTGATTCTGTAAGGGTTGCTGCAAGCTACTTGATGGACTCGAAGAAGGAAAATTCTCAACTTTTGCGGTTAGACTCTTGAATCTTTAAGGGTTGCTGCGAGCTACTTGATGGACCCAAAGAAGAAAATCTCTCAACTTCTGCGGTTAGACTCTTGAGTCTCTAAGGGTTGCTGCAAGCTACTTGATGGACCCAAAGAGGAAAATCTCTCAACCTCAGCACTGGGACTCTTGAGCAGTGCCGCACCCGAGATGTCACGTGTTGCTACGGTGTTAGCCGGGTCGTTAAAGCTGTCTAGCTACAAGAAACGTTACCTGCCACTCTGCTTTCTGCGTTCCTAGCCGAGTTCTTTCCAAGCCTTTTTTCAGATTTCTCGTCGGCCAGAATCTTAATCTTCAAGCCACCTTGAATCCTTCACCTTTTGACAAAACGCCCTGGTCCCTGAGACCCAGGCCATGCGCGTGGCCGTCCGCGCCCACGAGACGCTTACTCTCACAAGCTTGCCAGCGTGACTTGGTTCAGGATGTCAGGGTGGTGTTTGGGGTTGATAGGTCTTACGGTTTTCGCTTTAGGGACTCCAAACAATCCTGAGCCCTCACCCAAGGGCTCCAGGCACCCATAGTTCAAGGATTCAGTTTTGCATCCCTATGTTTTCATTTGCCTCTATAGTAGGGACAGTGAGGGCTCTCAGATACCTGTATTAGGATCACATACGTCCCTGAAAATTCGGGTGGCTACGACCTTAAACCCAAAACCATAAAGCCTTAAATCCTAAAGCCCTCAAGCCCTCAACCCTAAACGGGCTGTTGGGCGAGTGTGGGTCTCAGGTACTCCGCTTTGCGGGCAGCAGCCCAGCGAGGCCATAAGGCTGTCAAGGTGCCTTTGAGAGCAGCTAACGGTTTAATGTAGGTACCTTAATAATTAGAATAGGGTTTCAAGGGTTCCTTATTATAATTATAGTAGGATACAGACCAAACCCTGTTTTTATTGGGCTCCGCGCCGGTCCAGCGCCCAGACCCGTCGGGGAAGGGGGGAGGGGAGGCAGGAGGGGAGGGAGGGAAGCGGGAGGGGAGGGGGAGGGGCGGGAGGGGGGGGGCTGATGACGTTCATGGGAAAAGACGTTCTTGTTGCATGTGTTTTTTCTTCCCTTCCGTAATGACTTCTTCTTGCATGTTTTCTTTTCCTCCCTTCTGTACTTGCCTTTGGCATTTCCTCCCTTCCGCACTTGCCTTCGGTGTGGGAGGGGGAGAAGGGGGGGAGGCGGGGGGCTGATGACATTCATGGAGAGAGGTTCTTGTTGCATGTGTTCTTTTCCTCGCTTCCGCTGGTGTTGCTCAGTACAGACGTTGGGGTCGTAGCTGCGGAGTTGCCCCGGCACATTTCTTCCAAGACACTGCGCCGTTGTGGCTGGGCAGGCGAAGTGAGAGCTGTGACTTCCACAAAAGCGGTGGTGTTTCAGGGAAGGTTTGCTTGACCGTGTAGTGCACTGCTATCCCCGGCATCCTTTACGACGGTGTCTCGTGCCGTGCTAACCTATGCATGTCCTGCGACAGCAAATGCTGTACTATCATGTACATGAATTACTCTGAAAAAACACGTCCAAGTGCACGACAACCTGTTTTTACCGGGTCAAACGCGTTTCACCCGGTAAAACCGGGTTGTCGTGTACGTGCATGTTTTCTGCTGACAATGACGTGTCTTCTCAGGGTAAGTGTAGCATCTCTGAAAACGTGCATTTTCTCGTGGGAAAACACACATTTACATTGTCAACTCCAGTCAATCTTCGGCCAACGACAACAAACCTGCGAAGTTTCGTGTCAAAGGTTGCGTGGATGAAATTCAAATTCTGGCCACGCAAACGAGTGCGTTTACAAGACACGGCTATGACAGTTCCAAGTAGCAAATACCTCGCGCCTGCCACGTAATTTGTGATCCCGTTATTGCCACTCACACTCTCTATCCAATGAAGTCTGGGCGCTGGATCGGTGTTGCGCGTATTGATTATTAAGGCCCCTACGTTACTTAAGGGTTTTTGTTTTGGCATTCGGGGATGAGTTTCGGTTGAGGGCTTAGGTTTCGGAGTTCTGAGTTGCTTTTGGGTTAAAATACGGGCCTAAAGAATTACCAATATTATTTTTGGGGATTCCTTATTATAATTCTATAGTGTAATGTACCCCAAAACCGTATTGTATTTATTAAGGCCCCTACATTCATGACTTGCGGCTTTGGATTGCAATCTCTCGGAGATTGCCATGGGCATCCATGTGCCATATGATGGGCCATCTCTTTGTGTCGTCATCGGCCTGTCGGTTGAAGTTTAAGCTGGTGTCCACAACGCATCCAGTCTCTGCAAGCCCCCTGAATGATGCTGAAATGATGCCCCTAACCATCCCAAAAGCCTAAACCCGAAACCCTTAGCCGTCCCCGGTCAGCCATCCCCGGTCTGTGACTTATGTACGTATCCTGGGAGGATGTCCACTCCACAGCCCAGGTGTTTCTGGAGCAAAGCCCCGGAGCTACACCATGCTTATTGCAGTCTGGTTGTACATACATAGGTTGTTGCATCTTCGTTCAACAATTTGCGTATAGACAAATGAATAAATGCAGGTATTCTGCAGTAGGTTTCATCAAAACCACAAAAGAAACACATTGATAAGATGTGCCCGTGCTCCATGCATGCATGAACGCATGGATGAACGGAGATGATATGTGGATGTATGTACCGCATCGCGTTACCTCTCACAAAACAACAGGCAGAGAAGCAGCCAGAGCCTCGGAGGGGTTCGGTCAGCGTCTCCGTTTCGAAGTGGAGCAAGAACGGTTTACAGAGGATCGCTGATGCAGACGGCGAGGAGGAGGCTTCCGCGGAGCTGGTGCCTTCCAAGCGCAGGGCCATGTTTACGTGATGTGATCAAGCAGAAGAAGGAGAAGAAGCTGACACCGGAAGGAGAGTTGGCACAGGCAGCGCAGCAGCTCGTCAGTTGCTTCTTTTTCAGTGCGAGCTTTGGAGCATCATGCTGACTTGGTGCAGGTGCAGCAGATCCTTTCCGAGATAGTTGCCAATCAAGATCTGCTGCTCGTGGACCGTGGCATGTTCCAGTGCTTGTCATCTCTCGTGAAGCTGGTAGATACCCATAGGCCCTAAAGTAGTTCCTTTTTGGAGTTCATATATAGAATCCTATAAGGTAATCCCAAAAAGGAACTACTATGGGGCCTGTGGGTAAGGTATCTCCCAAAACGGATGCACAAGTCTTCCTTGTCAGCCCTAAACCCCGAGCTCCCGAGCCCCAGCACACCCCGCAAGCCAGGGCCACATGAAGAATCTGAGAAGAAAGTTGATGACTGAGCCACTGCCCCGGTGCTGGGGTTTAGGGTTTAGGGTTTTGGGTTTTGGGTTTAGGGTTTAGGTTGATGACTGAGCCACTGCCCCGGTGCTGGAAACAGGAACTTAGGGGTTTTTAGAAATAAGTCCTAATCTTTGGTTAGTATATCAGTATAACTGTCCGAAATTTGTTAGGGTCCAAGTTCAGTATAGGGAAAAGGATGCAGTGAGACCAAGCTTTGGTTGGTATTCCCAAGACCGACTGCACAGCCAAGCCGACAAGCATCCCTACACCCTAAATCCCTAAACCCCAAACCCGAAACCCGAAACCCTAAACCCGAAACCCTAAACCTTTAGCCCTAAACCAAGGAAGCTATCTTTCGACCAGACCTACAAGCACCTCGAAGAAGTGCAGCAAGCTCTGCTCGCTTGGTGCTTTGAAGACTTGCGAGGTTTAGGGGTTTAGGGTTTATAGGGTTTAGGATTTAGGGAGCTTTGATCCCTCTGCTGAAGTAGCAGCTACTGTAGGGGCCTAAATAACTACCTATACTACTTTGGGAGTTCCTTATTATGATTTTAGCATGATGTGCCCCCAAACCCTATTCTAACTATCAAGGCCCCTGATATAGAACATATAGATTCCTTCTTCAACCCTTTAGGGATCCCTGGAAAAGGCCCCGATATTAGCGGTTAGATAGCCTTGGCCTGAAGCGTGGAGCCAGGCAAGATGATCCTCTGAAGCGGTCGGAAGCTCGATCATGGGTTTGGGCTTTAGAGTTTACGGATTTAGGGTTTAGGGGTTTAGGGTTAAGGTTTTAGGGTTTGGGGTTTGGAGTTTACGGATTTACGGGTTTAGGGTTTAGGGTTTAGAACTCTATGCAGTAGCAAGCAGCCAGGGCACTTTAGTTTAATATAGGGGCCTAAATAATTACCAATACTATGTTCGGGGGTTCCTTATTTTAAGTATGGTCTAATATACCCCAAACCCCTATTCTAATTATTAAGACCCCTACATTAAGGTTTGGGGATCAGCTTGTGGGTGAAGGGTCCGGGGGCCTTGAAGCGATCTGGGCCCAGGTACGGCCTCACTATGCAGCAGTTCGATGCTATGCTCGAGAGGCATTGGACCGATCCTAAGGTCGCATGCCCGGTTGGTGCGCAAGGGTAGTTGCGAAAGAGATGCTTTACGCCCAGGTGAAGGCGGGCATCCATCCCATCGTGGGAATGCCAAAGAAGACCGACAGCGCTGCCGAGGTTGCTTTGTCTGATGTGTCACTCTTTCCGCTGCAGCAGACTGCCCGGCTTTAGACAAGATCATCCTTTGCACCAACGCCTCAGGCCAACTTGCTGACTATAGCAGAGAAGTTCCTTTCAGGAGTTGGGTGGCCATTCACAAGGATTGAGGGTGTCTGTCTCTGTGTGTGTTGTGGTAAGTACTCGTGGTGGTAGTGGTAAAGGTGTTGATAGTAGTCGCAGTAGCAGTAGCAGCAGCAGTAGTCGCAGCAGTAGCAGTAGCAGCAGCAGTAGCAGTAGCAGTAGCAGTAGTAGTAGTAGTAGTAGTAGTAGTAGTAGCAGTAGTGGTGGCGGTAGCAGTAGCAGTACCCAAAGCTTCCAAAAGACCTTAAATAGGCAAAGCGCCGCTAAATAAGGAAATGCGTCTCAAACGCAACCCTTAAATAAAGTATATTACTTCTTTTAAAGACTTTTTGTCTTTAATTAAAGTGTAGAGACTCTAACTGAGGTGTATAGCCCTTAAATTATAAGGTGTCTTATACTAAATAGTGAAGCACACCCTAATTAGGGATTATTCGTTTGATTAATTTAGGGTGTATAATTTCAGAAGAAAAGTCTGTAAAATAAGGTTTATTGAAAGCTATATGCATATATACATGCACAGTGCATATATATATATATACATACATATATATATATATATATATCATGCATATATATATATATATATATGTGCATGCATGTGTATATATATATATAGCATGCATACATGCATGGCTGGCATGCATGCACATGATCGATGCAGGCATGCATCGAAGCGATCGACAGTATAGGAGTGCATGTTGCACTCCTCGTATTGTTTTTTTTTTAACTTGTGTGAAGGGTCGAATGCCCAGCCCATGCTTTCTAGGAGTGCTATATGCCATGCCTCCTATATAAGTTTTAGGAGTGCACCCACGGATCGTGGATATCACTCCTGCCCGTGAGGCTCGATCGATCGAGCCTAAGGATCCCGATATTGCTGAGGTACATGCAGGCATATATACATATATGGCATGCATGCAGGAGCCCCGTCGATCATGCTGGAGCTCCTCGATCTCGGCATGCTCTAGGCCGACATATGCATGCAGCTGCATGCATGTGCCTGCATGCATGAATGCATGCAGGACGGTCTACCCATGCCGATATCATGCATGCTCGAGCCTAGCGATTGAGCTAGGATCGCTTTTTTGATGGCCATGGCACGGGCGAGAAACACGGCGAGTGTTTCGGATGTCGCCAAATGCCTCAAAGGCGAACTCGACTGCTTAGACCCTTCGAAGTATAATGGTTCGGTGGAACAGGTGATCGACTGTTACGTCATCCTGATCCGTTCCTTGCTCAAGTTGACACCAAGGCCCGTCGTCACTGTTCTACAACATGCCAGTCAGAAAGCCTTTCCAAAAGAAGCTTCTGATGATTGCAAAAAGTTTGCACAAGCGATCTGCAATGCCGTCACACACTGCCGGAACAAGAGGAAGTCCATGAAGACTGGCAGTCGACTGTCTGCAGGTGTCAAAGCCATATGCAAGCAGCTATCCCCCTCGAGGAGACCTCTCCAATTAGGAGAAAGTCTAGATCGTCGGTTGAGACTTCGCCCCCGGCGAAAAGACGATCTCGAGTTTTGAAGCCCAACTTGTCCTTGAGTTCTTGTACTTCGAATTCAAGCACCAGGATCTCGAAGAGAGGCTTTGCATCGAGATCTCACGCCAAGAGGCGGCGAGTTTCAACGTCGTCGCCGAGCCGAGCCCTGGTGTTGTCAACACCGGCTCCCGGCAAGTCGAGCCCAGCAGTGCGAGCAGTTTCTGCAGTCGAAGTTGTGGATAGCAGTCCTGAGAAGCCTGCTAAGAAGAAGAGCTCGGGCAAGCCCATGACTTTTCTTGATAGGTCGGATCTCCAGATGAAGAAGATGATGCCTGATGGGGAGATTGAGGTGGCTTCGATGAGGCCAGGCCCGGATGGATTCCTGATCGCCCAGTTTCAAGATGAAGAGCAAGTGTGCACGGAGGTGCCCAATCTTTCCTATGACATGCTCATGACGTCTTCCGGCAAGATTAAAAAGCAGCAACCGAAGAAAAAGCCTGCAGGTGCACTGAAGAAACCTGCAGCAGCAACCGCTGCAGAAAAGCCTGCAGAGGATCCGGATGAGCCTTTGGTTGCAAGCACGGTGGAAGAGGCTGTGGTTCCTGCGGAAGAGGAGCCGGCGGCGGCTGCTGCAGATCTCCCGCCCTTGCAGGATCGCAAGATCGTGAGTCTGCACTTCGTGAAAGCGACTCTGAAAGCCTATATCCAGGCAAAGTTGGAGAATCTCCCCTCCAAAAATAAGAAGCTTGTCGTGAACTTGGACAAAAAGAAAACCGCGAACTTTGTGGAGATCATGGAGCGAGTGATGACCAGAGCCGAATCAGTCCTCAAGCTTAGCAGGAGCACCACCTTTCAGGAACTGAAAGAAACCATGGTGAAGTACAGGGATGAGCTCCTAGAGGAGGATGCTGCAGCAAATGACAGCTAGGATTTTCACATGATTTTGCACTCGACTCCGCATGCAAGTGAAAGTGTGTGTATATTGATGCATGCCTAGGTCTGCATGCATTTTTGTATGCTCATTGCATGTTAAGCATGCAGGTATACGGTACCCATGTGCCGGGGCCTGAGATTGTAGGAGGCCTCCTTTGCCTAGGAAGCCTCCTAGTTTTTTTAAACGAAACCGGCGCTTTTCAGATGTATTGCCTCCTAGGGTCCCAGATCGCTGCCGAGGCGATCAACCGCTTGGTTGCCCAGCTGCAGGGGGCCCTTGGTCCACCTCAAGGAGGTGGCACTCCAGTGCCACCTCCTGCACATGTGTCTGCAGGACAATATGTGCCACCTCCAGGAGGTTTGCCACCTCCTATATAAAGAGATATATGTATACAGAACAACTAGAAAGAAATACATATATATATATATATATATAATATATATACAAAAGATTATCATGTATATATACCCATCCCTGCCAGGTACTTCCTGGATACTCGGCCGGGGCCTCGGTGTCTGTTGTTGTTTGCTGGCTTGAGTTTCTTTTTTGCATGCCTTTGTCTGAGCGAGTTTTGCCGACTGCTCGCAGGATATCCTGCAGCGACGATCGACATGGCTCGGGCACTGGGAGGAGGCACGGGCTGAGCTCTGCCTCCTGTATAGCAGCTGGCGTGGACAGTGCATGCAGCTCAAATGCACATGCATGCATGCCCAGCTCGAGCATTTTTCTCAAGAGACGATCTCGAGAGCTAGCTTTTGATATCATGGGTAATAGCCATGGTTCTACTGGGACGACCCGGATCGATGCCGAGGCGATCAACCGCTTGGTTGCCCAGCTGCAGGGGGCCCTTGGTCCACCTGAAGGAGGTGGCACTCCAGTGCCACCTCCTGCACATGTGTCTGCAGGACAATATGTGCCACCTCCAGGAGGTTTGCCACCTCCTGTTTTTCCACCTGCGGCTCCAGTGCCAGCTCCCACTGCAGCTCCAGTTGCTGTGCCAGCTCCCACAGAAATGCCGCCCGGGAACTTCACTGAGGATGCATCTGCTGCTACAAAATCAGGTGCAGTGCAGTATCTACGAGTTTGCAGGTCCTGCAATCTCCAGGCTTACTGGAGGTCTGGCATATGCCTCAACGAGCGGTGCCGGGTGACGTGGCTGCAGTTATGATAATTTTGTTTGTCCATGTGAGGGCCCTAAACCCCTCTGGAATCCGCATGCTTCAGCAACTAAGTTGTCCTATACGATCGACGAGGGCAAGAATGGCAATGACCTCAACCGGGCAAGGTTGTGGGGCGGTCGCAAGGTCCCCCGTGAGCAGTACATAGGCTATGTGGAGCAGGTCAGATGGAAGAAAACCAAGAAGAACAAAGGCACCTTGAGTGTTCAGGAGGGCTTTTTGTTCTCCTTTTTTTGGTGATGGTTGTTTTTGTCAGGGGTCCAGATTGAAAAAAATTGCTCTCCTAAGGCCTCAAGAGAAAGCAGTGGTGGAAGGATCGGTGGGCCAACTGGGACAAGCCCGTGCTCGTCAAGGATGACAATGAAGATGACGATGACGATGATGACGATGATCAGGCCGATCCCAAGAATGTGAAGCCTCCTGGTGGTGCTCCCGGAGGAGGCAACAATGATGGAGATGGAGATGGTGGGGGGAAAGACCCCACGGGCATGGGTGACTTGCCCATGGTGGCCACGGCAGCTGGCTAGGATGATTAACACAGCGGCGAGCTGCTCTTCCGAAAAAGAAGTGCCTTGCTGCCTCCTGCTGAAGTTGTGCATGCGTGCATGAGTTGTTTCTTGCGTGTTTGGGCCTGGCAGGCTGGCCTTGGGACTTCGTCCAGGCTTAGCCTGGAGCCCAGCATTCGTTTCATTGGTTGTTAGGCTGCAGCTGGAGGTCCTCCCACCCCAAAATAAGCTAGGGGATCCAAGAGGACCTCCTGATATATATATATATATGTATATATATATATATATGAGCCCGACACCTTTAGGGTATATTTAGCTAGCCCTTTATATATACAATATAAAACCCCCTAGCTAAATCCTGCATAT